TTGTTGAGATTCCTAGTTTGTTAACCGAATCCTGGCTCTTCATCGTTTCCTTCTGCTTAATGGAGGATAATAGAAACAAAAGATGAGTTTTCATTTGTGAGCATAGCAGTTTACTAGCCATTATATATCGATATCTTGTGACCACTGTTATAATCTGTCTTCTTCATAGTGTAAAACTGCGGTGGCGAGTGGACATATCTCACACATTGAGAGTGACCCACTTAAATTTGTGTTTTTACTTGTTCGTGTTTGAGATTTCGTTTTACGTAAGCTTGCTCTCATAATTGAGACTGGGGCTTTTGAACTGACAAGGGAAAGAATTTCCAAGTGGTTCACAAACAAATAAAAATATCTACATTTTACATTTATATCAAGTTTCTAGTATGAATCTTTTTCGACTATAATGACTAGTCCCGATTGTTGCAGGTGTGGGCATCACTACTTTTATATCGCCAAATATTGGATGAAATCGAAGTGAATGACTACAACAATTTCACAAGGAGGGCGTACGTAAACAAACCAAAGAAGATTCTTGCTTTGCCTATTGCATATGCAAAGTCTCTGGTTCCTCCATCGAGAACTTCATCTCCTTTTGTCAAGGCATGAACAGAACCATGTAGATATTGCTTCATAACCTCTGAATTATACAGTTGAAAAAACAAGACCAAATTTTTGTACATTAGACATTACTTCAATGTAAGCATTTATCTTGAAGTCTGGGATTGAAGAAGAAAGAAATGGCTAATTTTTCTGTTTTTACTAGAAATGCAAATGTGAATACAATCTAATAGTAGACAACAAAAAAAGGTCTTCAATGCAAGATATTAATCTGGTAGGGTTGTTGAGAAATGGTAATTAAAGTTGACAAAGTGGTCAACTTTGAAAAATTAGCAGCTGGAGTCCAACTTGACGGAAATACCCTTGCTTAAAATGGTTAAAATATCCAATTTTTGTATTTTCATGTCAACTGAAGGTGGAATTCATGTTTTTCGTCAAGTTGGACTCAAGGTGCTAATTTTTCAAAGGTTTGGGACCTTCGCTGGCACAATCGAAGGCTAGGGTAAAGTTTGCTAAAAATTCCCAAGGTTGGGGACCGCCACTACAATTTTCCCTATATATTTTTATTTTAGGATGGATAAAAGACAATATTGAACTGTAGATAGAATTCACTGGAGACTAATTTTAGGCTTTGACTAACTGTTTAATAAACATTAATGTCACATAAATGTAAGTCTTTCAAGTTTCCTTCCATGTATATTGCATACATAAATTGCGTTGAAGATGCTTTGCGGATGTCCAAATGTGTAGAGGGTGAAGATCTACACCTTCTACACGCACACGTTGCTCTTGCTATTTGGTCAAGCCTTGATTTTATGTCTTAGCATTCGAGCTTTGCCAACCATTTTTACATAGAATAATCATTTCATTTCGATATCATTTAATAGTGAATTACTTTTAAATTAAAGATTCGACGAGCATCAAAGTGAGTGCAACACTCATTTTGCCAAATATTGACATGTTACAACACTTGTTCGAATGATGTTTTTTGCCTAGAAAAATGGGTGGAGACAATGAAATATGTGGATAATAATGAGAATAAATTTTGAATGTGTACTTGAATTTGATTGAATACTAGTAGAAGTAAATTATAAGTCACTAAAATGTTTTCCAAATATAGGTCAAGTTTGCTAGCCGACTCAACCATTACCAATTTACCACCACAAAGGGAGTTGCATACAGATTTCTAGCGTGGACAAAAATTCTCTCCATAGCAACAGTCGGTTCAAGTTCAATGTTGCAAAGAAAAATGAAAATTAACTTTCAAAATGGAAAATTGGCTTTTGATAAATGATAATCCCCGGTTCAAACCCCAGCCCCATGCGCGCGCGCGGGCGCGCACACACACACACATATATATATATATATTAGGATTGATATCCTTTGTCTCGGTGCTTAGCTTAACATACTAATTAATGTGGTGGGAGATAATGGTGGGTCCCATAATAATATATATTGCATCGAATTAAACCACGTGCTTCATCGTTTGTGCGAACCCTCGTCAATTCCTTTGAGTTTTATTCTTGCGAATGTACTACCCCAGGCAGAATACTTAAAAGCATTAGCTACAACACTAATTTCTCGTTTTTGGTTCTTCTATGCTCTTGATAGTTCAAAAATCAATTTATTTTATTATTTATACTGTTTTGCTTGCTACGCAGCCCATTGGAAAAGTTCCTGCCATTGAGGGTGGAGATTTCAGACATCTTGATAAGAATAATGTTGTTTGACATTACTGCCTTACTGGCGGCATACATGGTGTATTGACATTAAATGATAAATTCATTTAACAGTAGCAAAAAAGTCATTGACGACTTAATGCACCTCAAGGCACGCATCATCATCATCATCATCATTATTATTTTCCAAACAATTTTAAAAGTTTAATAATTATTATTGATATTATTTTTTAATAATTATAATTTTTTCAAATTTTAGTCAATTGGATTGAAATGCACAAAAAATTGCTTATACACTTATTGAATCACTAATTTATAGAGGGCATTTCTAAGGATTTTGTTGTGAACTTTCGATGTGGAATAAGAATCCCCTTGGTTTGGCCGTAGAGTATTACACATTTGGTTTAGTTATAGCGCGTTGTACCTTTAATTTGACAGTAGTGTATTCTACCTTTGATTTTGTTGTAGTGTATTGGACTTTGTATAAATAGTTATTTATATTTTATTAAGTTAATTAATCATTTTTCATTTCTTTTACTAATTAATAAAAATTAAAAGTCTCCAAATATTTTCAATCAGCACTATTATACAATATATTGTTTATCGTTCGAAAATATATTTATTTTGTTAAACTCTTAAACCTGCATTTGGTACTATAATTTGTATGTATTATTAAATAATTATAAAATAAGATTTTTTATTTTTATTTTTCATTTTTGTACGCCTAAGTCTCGCATACTGTTTTTTAGAACACTGGATATAAATAGCATCACTCGAAGTATTAGTGGCTTGTTTGACTTCTTTTTGACTTTTAAGCTCAGTCAGACTCGAACATGAAACTCTGTGTTTTTATTTTTTTTATTTTGTGACAATCTCGGGCCAATCATTTGATACTATGAAGCAAAATACGCCCAAGGTGGCATCAACCTCTTGGGAAACACTTCGGAAGAAAGAGCCTTGATCGATCAATGGCTGGACGTAGAAGCTCAAAACTACAACCCTTTCGTATTACACTGATGCTTCAACTGATGGTGCTGCCGCGAAGTGGGCTCAGGACCAACATATCGGTGGTTCGTGATTTTATGACGAAGCTCGAAAAAGTATTGGATGTACATGAATAGACAGTGTCAAAGAGAGAAGCTAAAAAAAAGAAGCTCATTCCATTTTAACAAATGAACAACGTTCCTGTGCACAGCAAAGTAGGATGTTCATGGATCAGTAGATTCACTTATATCCCTAGATACACCAATTTTCATGAGATATATTGCTCGCGAAAATTTAAAAAGACATCACATTTGTAACCAATTTTCTGACCAACGGGCTTCGTCGTACAAGAGACTTCTATGTCAGCACGGAAATCCAACTCAAGCACAAGAAGCAAACAAATGACCAGAAGACGGAACATGGTTTCTTGAGACTAGGGATAGTTATCGAAAAGACTTCCAACTACATGGAAAAACAAAATAAATCACATTTCCCGAGTACACAAATTTTCATAGTGCATTTGTTCTAAGAGATTCTCTTGAGTAATCCAAGATTTACTCAACAGATCATTTAGTCCTGGGGCTTGTAATCAATGAAACACAAATGGTTCGCATGAGAGTGAGGAGAGATTTGGGGTGGAATTTGTGGGGGGGGGGGGGGGGGNGGGGGGGGGGGGGGGGGGGGGGGGGTGTGGGTAATGCATATTACAGATCTTCTAAATTTAAGGTCAAACAACCATATTCTTGTACATATGATACACACAATATAGTCTCCCTATGACATTGTCATGATACACAATTAATGATAAGCCGGCACTTGAAATACAATTGCAATGCATCGGGCAATTTACAAGGTTGGGGAACAAGCAGATCAACAAATCAAAGATACTAAAGAATGATACTCTTGACACATTGCAAAACAGCAACTCACGACCTGTTAGATCTGGGCAATCTACTCTATGATGAAATTGAAGATAACAAACCTGCTCAATATTGCAGCATAGAGCAAATTAATATTGAAGATAACAAACCTGCTCAATATTGCAGCATAGAGCACATTAAATTTGATACTGACCATCAGGACCAGAAACATATTTATAATAACCAAGGTGATTGCACAAATGTGTTGCAAAAAGAAAGAAGTGTGATGTGCATATACAATGGTGCCAAAACAGGCCAGGTTGAACATGCCCACAGTTGTCCCATTAAAATTCTAACACGTCTGGGCAATGGTTGGCCCACTTTTTTAGGCCCATGAGGACCATTATAAAGAAGCAAAAAAAAGTCAAAGCAGAAAGCAACGGCTCTCTGCAAGGTGATCTGATGAGCAATGCATTTTCCTCCTTCCATAACTCCAAGCACACATAAATCAAAACTACAGCTAAGAATACGTCACATTTTGGGTGCTTTTATGACATTCAGCATATGCCATTCATTATCAAACTTGTATTTGTATATTTGCGTAGGCATATAAATACTTCAGTAAGATGTATACAGCAAAAAGGATAATGTCGATATTAAAGAAATAATTAAACGCTAATAAAGATATATAATTACAAGCATATCCTACGAGGACTCTTCCATCGACTGATGAGTGACCTCATCTAGCATAAGATACCTATCAACAGTGTCCCATCATACAAATTCTCCACAAAATTATAGCCACTCTTGCTTGTTACTTTTGTAACAGATTTTTTGCAATTGCATCATAAACAAGCAAAAATTTGGAAGAGGGGAAGAAAAAGAGAATTAAGGATCATGTCTGAAGAGAAGGTAGTACTTAAGAACAGCACGATGATGCAGCTCGAGATCCTTCTGCTGGTCTGTCAACTAGAACCATTCCAGCCGGATTTTGAGTAGGTTGAGCCCTAGGTAGCCTCTTTGCTGTAAACACACAACAAATTTTAATGCAATTACAGAACAAAAAAAGAACACTTTAATAAACATGCAAGCACGCTAAGAGAATTGCACTTAAAATTTCAAGTGATGGATGCTTAAGATTATATTAGATGTGTGAATAAAATTATGGACCTAGAAAATTTAGCCATTAGAGTTCATTCCGTGGATATTTGAAAGAACGAAAATTCTAAGCATCGAGTTCAAAAGTGCAGAAGTCGATTGCAACTATGTTTGAAGAAATACTGATCCCACATTGTGCATAGCTTAAAATCAAGAATGTGAATACTAAAGGAATTCTGATTCTTATCAATCACCAGAGACAAGTCAAGCCAAGATGCCATAACAAGAGAGAAATTCCAAATCTTGGCATGGAGAACACTATATCTGGGGTAGCCATAGACTATGAGGACAGATAAATGCAAACAACCAAGAGCTTTTAGTTTTTCTTATGGACTTGTTGAACACGATGAAAATTGTTGTCATCAAGCCCCCAATCTCTAACTACAAAAGCAACCCATCACTTTTTGTTGTTTATTCAATAAGTAAACATAGCATTGGTACACGGTCATTATTCAACTGAAGATAAAAGATATGTTCGGTATCCATTAAGTACAACATTTTAGAATATACAAGGCAAAGAGAAGAGAAGAGTACAACATTTTAGAATATACAAGGCAAAGAGAAGAGAAGAAACGAACCTATCTCATAGAATATTTCATTAACATTAATAGCAGTTTTAGCTGATGTCTCCACGAAAAAAAGACCATTTTCCTCTGCATATAAACGTGCTTCCTGAAACATAGATGCATGAAAAACATGAGTATAAAACTGAAATGGCATTCTTTAAAAAAGAAATCAATATTAGGTAAGTACATTATACATCTGTTTTTTAGTTTTAAGTGTAACCTCAAGTAATTTACATTCAAATAAATGGAGATAAAAAAAAAAGAGGTAGCAAATTCACTCCCAAAACAGATAACCACAGCAAATGGATGAAAATGCATCATTTGGACAGAAAGGGGAGAACGACATTAATTTGGAAAACAAGGGTAACAATACAAATCAAGGCAGCTACTACTTACCTCTGCAGTCACCTTCCTCTTATCTTCAAGATCAGCTTTATTCCCAGCAAGTGCCATGACCATGTTAGGATTACCTGCAACAACCAAAAAATTGATGCGCAACTAAGACATTCACTGCAAATGATTATCTGGATAAAAGTCTAATGAATTCATTTGGACCATATAGTAAAAGTAATATAAAAAAACATATATATTAATTATTAAGGGACATTATTTCTTCCTCTCACTCATTCATTCTTGGAATAACAATATTATATGACCAAATTTTCTTTTTAATTATTGAGATGATAAGAGCTGTACATTGAATTCATAAAACAAATGTTGTTTTCTTATTAAAGCACCTTGCTTTAGGAGTTCTTGCACCCACTTCTTAGCCCGGGCAAATGAATCCTGATTCATAAAACAGAACAAGAAATTAAATCACTATACAAACAAAATTCAAGCACCCACTTCTTAGCCATGCAAGTGATTTTGATTCACCAATCCGAACAAGAAACTAAATCATTTATACACACACACAATTACACAAATGTACAACCTTCATTCACAATATGGCTCAAGAACATGCCTTTTCCTTTCTTTTCTTTTTTGACAACGTCCAAGAACATATTAGAAACCTACAAAATTTAGATTACTACTTAAAATGTAATTTCAAGACTAAAATAAGAAAGTCCAAGCAGCTCCCATTCCAGTGATCCCCATACATGAAAAAGCTACCACAAGACTTATTTTCCACGACTTTTACACACGTTTCAAGAGAACCAACTATAAACCAATTTCAATCATAGGTATTGTACAAAAAAAATAACTCCCACAAAAACAAAGCAGGCCCTAGTATAAGTTCAATAGTACACACCCAATACAAGTATACAACTTCCACAATTGATTAAATTAAGCAGATTCATACACAAACGAATTGAATTATATGGATACCGTGCTAGTGATGTCGTAAACGATGATTGCCGCTGCAGCGCCTCTGTAGTACATGGGAGCCAAGCTATGGTACCTTTCCTGCCCGGCTGTGTCCCAGATTTCGAACTTCACCGTCGAATTAGTGACCGCCACTGTCTGAGAAAAAAAGGCGGCTCCGATCGTCGATTCCTACACGATCAATCAGTGTTAATACTTTGATTATCATTAGATATAATAAATTGTTGATTATCAACCATTGAGAGTTAAGCCCACCCAGAAAGTCAATTTTGATCAAGAAAACAAAAATGGGAAATTATTACTTGGAATTCGAGGAATTGGCCCTTGACAAAGCGTATAACAAGGCTGGATTTACCGGCGCCCATATCTCCTAGCAATACCTGAGAAATTAATTCACCCATTTATTCACAAAATCCAGATAACCCCAAAAATTGAAGTTAATTAACTGAAAATTAGGGCTTACAAGTTTTGCATTGAGGTTGTTGTGGCCCATATTAGCCATGGAAAATAAAGAAATCTTATGATTGAAAAGATGAGGATTTGAGGGAAGAAAATAGATCGAAGAATTTGTTTAAGATCACCTAAATAGGTAGGGGAATTTCAACAGACAAAATTGAGGACATGGGCAAATATAGGTTTGATACAGTTGGTTTTTGAAATTGTTTAGAAGCTGTTGTTTTTGTATTTCAGTTTTGTGTTTTGAGTTTTGAATTCATTTTTTATTTTGTATTTTGAGCGTTCATTTTGAGATCGTTGAAAATGTTTTCTTTTTGACATTTTGAAAACACTAAAAACTCGTTTTGAAAATTTTGGTTTGATTATAACTGAAAACACCAAAAACGACAAATTTGTTGTTTTGGATTTTCTTTTTAAATTTTTAACTTATTTTTAAAAACGCGTTTTCGAAAATAGAAAAGATGACGTTTTTTTTACTGTTTTGGAAAATCGAAAATAGAAAACAATTTGAAAATGATAAAAATAACATACCTTTAATGTTTTGTATTATTAGTGAGGGACTTTTCTTAGATTTTACCAACCAAAATCAAATAGTTCATCTCGCGTGCCTTTGAAGAGTTAAATGTTTTATTGGACACTGAACTTTGCACAATGTCACGATTTATTCACCAAACTTCATAAGTTGTCCCACTAGCCATTGAACTTTACTACATTAGTGTCCATCACTCATCGAGGATGGCATTTAAAAACATATTCACGTGGTAGACGGAATAATGACATGTCTAGTTATCTCCAATCAAATCAGGACCACATCATCACAAACAAACATTGAACCTCTCATTCTATAAAATGTGACTTCCCCAATTAAAATCCAAAACCAATACTCATGATTTCCAGAATAGTCGAAGCTCAATCCCTAATTTCCTAAAATCAATCTGACATTCGGAACCTAATCCCTAATCCTTAAACCCGGAAAATCTGATTATCGATCTCCATCCCGTCGTGCCCAACCAAAAGCAGCATCTGTTTGATTTGAGAAGTTCGACTTCGAGCAAGACGATTGAGCGTGCACATAGATTGAAGGTAAATTCGATCGTACAAAGAAGCTGTATGTTTGAATTTAACTATCTTCAAATGGATTTTCTCTCCCTCCATCTATAATTTTAACTTCTTTTAGTTTGATGAATTTCTTTTTATTTCTATGGTTTATTGATCTTGCCAAGGTATGATGTGTGATAACATTTGATGATCTAGAATTGTAAGGAATTGTTTGTGCTAAGTAATTACCCTAAATGTGTACCACATCGCTAGGCTAAGTTTAGTTTGTAGGTTACAACAAATTGGGCATTCTTCTTTGCAAAACTTTTTAAGCATGATTCTACTCATCGTGGTTGTCACAATTTTGAATGGCTGACTAGGTGATATAGCGAGAAGGGGGAGGGGTTGCAGTTGAATGGTGTTACAATTTTGAATGGGAGAGGAAGAGGGGTTGCAGTAGAGCGGGAAGTGGGAGGGGTTGACTAGGTGTTACAATTATGAATGGTTTCTACTATGTAATTGTTTAAATAATTATATACAAATGTCCCATTTGACTTGGTTGAACGTGTTTTCATAGCTTAATCCCATTTTGTTTAAATTGTTCTCTTTGTTTTTATATTCTTCCATTGTTATTTCTGATGTGAAAGAAATATATTATAATGAATTTAATACTGGATTCTAATGTGGTTCAATTGTAGGACAGATTGTGCGGAAGATCTGGACTTCTTAGAATTCGACCACGACTTTGAGTCCGATGACGATGACATCGAATATGATAGAAACATAACTGATGGGATTGAAATTGGATTAGATGGCCACGACGATAAAGTACAGGAAGAACGAGAAGATGACAACGAGAATGAGTTGGATGAATTAGAACTACCATTGTCAAAGGATCTACTCTCCCAATGTTCATTAAATGAGGATGGCAATCATTACTTTCCTGAATTCACTTTTGATCAGGACATGACAAATCCTCAGTTCGATGTATGACGAATATTCAGTTCTGCAGCAGCATTCTGGGAGACGAATGCGAACGTACGGTACATTGAATGGGTACAACGTAAAATTTAAGGCAAACGAGGAAAGAAGAGTGTAAGGAATTTGTAAATTGGGTTACAAATAGGCTGATAAGTGCGTTTTTACACACTTATTGTAGGTCCAAACATGGATAATTGTTAATAAATATTTGAAATATAGCTTAATTTGATGTAATTTGTCTTTTGCAGGACAACAATGATGAACGTGATGAAAATTCGGAAAAACAAGCGAAAAACGACTAAAATGAAGTACAATCAAAGTTTGAGGACTCAAGTGCAATTACTGAAAAATTGTGTCGATCTCACGATGAAGATTTGAGAGTATTGGGCATCAATTGGATGAGGAAAGGAGCCAAACGGATGAAATATAGTGGAAGTACTATCACATATCAACTTCTAACCGAAAAAAGTTATGCTTTGAATTTTCAATTTTAGTTTGAAACCCATTTTTTGGCATAGAAGCCGTTCGAATTTGAAGATTTATATTTCAGGAATATTTGTAGCCCTTTGAGTAATCTTTCCAATTCAATTTGAATCATGTTAATCGAATAGCGAGAGAGAAAGATATGACCAAAATATTGAACGCTTTCCGGTGGAAAAATCACTCTACCATGCGGCCGCATGGTAGGGCCGAATGGTAGAAACTACCATGCGGCCGCGTGCACCATTCCAGGGAATCGGATGAGGAAAATTGTTGTTTCATGCGGCTCCATGGAATATAACCATGTGGCCGCATGGTTAATTTTCGGCGCGACTTTTCTGGTTTCCTTTTCTCGTTCAACCTCTTATGGAAAAGAATTTAGGGCAACTATAAAAGTCAAAAGTCATTCAGAAATGAGGGTTATGCCACTTTAGAAAGTAAAACTCATTGAAAAACAAGGAGAAGGCAAATACAAGAGATTTTACATCAAAAATTGAAGAATTCAAGATTCATATTCAAGTTTTGGGTGATATCTTTTCCTAAATATTCTTATTGTTCTTTATTTTTATTCATGCTAGGCTAGACTTTTTATGTATTAGGTGGACGATGAACCTCGCGATATGATTTTTTAATTCTCTATTTTGTAATTTGATATTCGAACACGATTAATGGATGTTGAATGATTTATATACACTTTATTGCCGCCATAGTTAAATGCATGTGATTATGTAAGTTTGAGTGATCTATTTTATGCATTCGAAAGAAAGGAAATAGATTTTACAAGGTATAAATCGTCGTAGAGTCCGATAGGGGATAGAAATATACCACTATACTTTATGTGAATATTTAAGTGTTTACAAAATATCATGCATTCTTGTATATTGTATTTGTCATAGAAATATAGTCAAATGGCATGCGAGAATATGTTCAATTCTACTTGAAAGAGATTATTGGATAAGTTAGAAATATTGATTTTTCAACCAATTCATCGTGTTATCGAATTGTGAAATAAATGTTAAAAAGTGATATTGCTTAGTGATTCAGGATCGTAGTGCGCTTTTCATTTATTAATTTCTTCAACTTGTTTGCATTTAAACATTATTGTTGCATTTAGTTCGTTTAAATTGCATAATAGTCATAGTTTAATCAAAGAATCTAGAAAATCATCTTGAGTTTAATAGATTCGGTTAAAGTATTGATCATAGAGATCAAGTTAAATCAATTCTCGTGGGACGATACTAGAAATTTTACAATTTTTACTTTATTACTTGTTAACGAACCGTGTACTTGCGGTGGTTTATAAAACGAACATTTTTTCATGAACATGGGCTTCTAAATTTGATGCATCCGGGAGATTGCAAGTAAAATCTTACACTTCGGAGCATACATGTAGCCGGGACCAATTTAATAGACAACGTAATTACACATTCTTGACACGTCGATATATTGAGCAATGCAAGGCGGGCCTGGACTGGAAGACTGAGCTAATTTTGACAACTGTGAAGAAAGATCTCCGTACAAATATTAGAGTATTTTCAAGAGACTCTTTAAATATGAGATGCTCTCTTTTGTAAAGAGTTAAAATGTAAAATCATGTTCTAAAAACTCTTTAAATTAACATTTTAATTTAGAGAGTGTGTTTTGACTCTCCAAATTTAGAGAGTCAAACTCACTCTCTATAATTAAATGTATTCAATATGTTTCAATTTTCAATGTAGGAAAATAATAAAATAATTTAAAGAAAAGTTAGTTAAAATAAAAGATAAACAAAAATAATAAATAATTTTTGGGAGTGGTAAAATTAAGTGTTAAATACAAAGAGATTGTAAGTACTTAAAATTTTAACTCTCTAAATTTATAGATACTCTCTAAATGATAGAATATGCTCTTTAAAAATAGAGAATTTATTGGAGATACTCTTAGTAGAAATGTAGCATGGAAGATGTGGAGTTATGCAAAAGAACTTTTAGCAGGAAATTTGCATGAACAGTTTAGGCGAGTGAAGTCTTATGCAGCCGAGGTACTCCGTAAAAGATAAACAAAAATAATAAATATTTTTTGGGAGTGGTAAAATTAAGTGTTAAATACAAAGAGATTGTAAGTACTTAAAATTTTAACTCTCTAAATTTATAGATGCTCTGTAAATGATAGAATATGCTCTTTAAAAATAGAGAATCTATTGGAGATACTCTTAGTAGAAATGTAGCATGGAAGATGTGGAGTTATGCAAAAGAACTTTTAGCAGGAAATTTGCATGAACAGTTTAGGCGAGTGAAGTCTTATGCAGCCGAGGTACTCCGTACAAGTGTTGGCTCGACAATCATTATTGCATTACCGATCAAATATTTCAAGGGATCTACATATGCTTCAATTGTTGTAAGATATGTTTTAGAGATGGTTGTAAGAAGGTAGTAGGTAGTGACGATTGTCACTTAAGGGGTTGTTTCGGAGGGATAATGTAAACTGCAATTGGTATTGATGTTAATGATTGTATCTATCCTTTTGCCTACGCAATTGTTCAAAAAGAAAATATAGCAGCTTAGCGATGGTTCTTGACCTTTCTCTCAGAGGATATTAGGATTGGAGATGGAAGATGTTAGACTCTAATACTGACAGACAGAAGGGGGTACAAAATGTGGTAAACAAGTTTTTCCCTATGGCCGAGCATAGGTTTTGTGTACGACATATATACACGAACTTCTTACTGCTGGGTTAAAAAGAAATTTTTTGAAGAATTACTTACAGCGTGTTGCTAAATCGACCACTATTGCCGACTATCAACATTGGATGCAACAAATTCTTCTGATTAGTGAGGAGGCATACAAATGGCTTATAGAGAGGAACTCGCAAGAATGGAGTAGATCACATTCTCGGTTCAATCGAAGAGTGACATTCTACTTAACAATCTATGCTAAGTGTTCAACAAGACATTGCGGCCTGATAGAGAAAAGATGATTCTATCACTGTTAACTTCACTACAATTAACCTTCATGAACATGATTCAAAAGCGTCGATGCATGATGATGAGGTGTACATGACGTTTGTGTTCGAAGATCAGTAAGAAATTGCATAAGATTGCCGAGAAATGCGTGAATGCACGTTGTACTTTTCTGGTGGTCCGAAATGGCAAGTTGAATGTAGCTTCAGGACATATGTTGTCAATATAGAGGACATAACTTGTGCATATAGAGAATGAGAACTTAGAGGCATACCTTGCATGCATGACATGTCAGTAATTAGGGAATGCAGAAATGATTCGGAAGACGTTCACAACTGCTATACAATAAAGACGTATATAAGGTGCTACAATAATATCATGCATCCAATTAACGGTATGCGGTTATGGCCACAATTGGGTATGGTTGATATCACTCCACCGTCGTGGAATGTAGCGCGAAAGGGCAGGAGGCAAATAAATCGGAGAAAAGGAGCAGACGAAGATGTGATAGTGCATTCACAAGAAAAGACCTATATTCGTAGAAATGGGCGATTGAAGATGACATGCACATTATGCGGACAACAGGGTCACAACAAGCGATACCACTCTAGGCCGGATGCACCAGATTCTGTGAGTAGGATCTTGCTTTCTTTGACGTGATAATTCGATTTATATAATATAACTTTATTTTTTGTCAACATGATTGGTTTGAAGAAAATTTAGAATCAGTTGTTACACATTGCGATAATGCGGTTGATGAACGTGCTAGCAAATGTTTGATTGAGTTTTGCAAACTTCATTGTCAATTTTTTTGGATAATGTGAATAAGATGGAAATGTGATGTACACATTATGAAGGGTAAAATGTTGCCAAACAGGGGACAACGAGCATCGAATGACCACAACCTTGGGAAAGAACAAACTTTCATGACAAATCCCTTTGTTCTTTCCCCCATAATAATTTATAATATGCTGATCCAGCTAAAAAATGAAAATAAAATCAGATTGAAAATCATATTTATTCCAACTAGTAAATGGGTGATCATCAGTAAATGTACAAATATTACCGCTCACTTTTACTTGACTAAACATCACTAGCAAAGCCAAGAAATTGGTGATGGTGCAAAATGAATTATATCAACATGTTCTACAATTTATTCCATGGTTAAATAATGGCTGAAATAAAATAGATGTTGCTTCCTAAGTGCATAACTGGTAAAATCATTGAAACACATTAGCATTATTCCATCTGCTCCTGCACATTTGGAAAATATCATACCAAACTGTCAGATGGAGTCTCAAGATTGATATTTGAATGAACCTGTCTATCCGTATCGCCTACAAGGAAACAATTCAGCGACATAGTCGAGCACAATGCCAAATCTACTTCATATGGAATATTCCATTAATCAACACATTCAACATTAGAGCGCTTAATAATCAAGAACTATACAATATTAGTTTGGGACAACTGAACACATACAATGCCCACATGGATCTACCCAAATTTTCACCTTTGCTCATTTTCATCAAATAACTTCATTGGATAAAGAAATTGTACAGAAAAGTAGCTGTATCATTCGATTCCCATTTATTATATTTTCGACTATTTAATCCCTTGTTTGACATCCATTTTTTTCTCATTTTTTCTCTTTCTTCATTTCAACCACACATTCTATCAATAAAATAATATTACACAAAAAACCAAAAATTCTCCTTACTTTTTAACTACACATTCTTCTATCGATCACCATTCCAAATCAAATTCTTCTCCAAAATGGGTGTCAAACACAACCTAAATTTCAAAAAATTAAAATAGCGAGCACGTCTTCTTACCTACTTTGGGATACCGCTATTTACCTAGAAGAATTCTATTGGTTTTCGGAACTCATAAGACTTTGCCTCATAATTGGGAGTAATGGATTTCGGAACTAATAAGACAGATATCAGAGAAGATTCTTAGGATAAAGCTAGTGTTCTTCAATGAAGACGTCTATAATTTGGGAGGAAGGTGAAAAATTGGGGCTTGTTTAAACGTGTATGAAATTATCAAAACGCGATTTTAATATGTTGACGTGGTCGATGATTTGGCAAAACATTTAATACTTGTAAGGATTTAACCTGCCAACTAAACTTTTCGTCGCCACGTAGGCACGTCAATTAACAGATTTGAGCCGATGAGTAATTGGCAGTAACAGATCAAAGTACAGTGCCCATCAACAAAAGTTTGAAAGTTCGGTAAGTAAGTCGTGACATAATCCAAAGTTCAATGGCTAATGAAACATTTAACTCGCCTTTGAATCACCACCACATGTTTCAATGCGTGATGGTTGTGTCATTAAATTATTGTTTTTTGGACTAGAATGACAAACACACAAAATTAAAAGGCCTTACACTAAATTAAAATATTACAAATTTGAGTGTCTACTTTTAATTGTTGAATGTAGATGTGTAAATATATATTTATTAATTACAAGACGGGTTAAATGCACTTTGGGTCATCTAATTATAAAATTATTTTGTCTGAATAGAAGAACTTTTAAAAGAACATGATATAAGACAGCTTCCTCAAGAAACTGTTCTATAAAAAATAGAACCAAAAGAAGAAATCATAAGCACTTAATTTCATTTAGACATGAGAGGGTCAGGTAGGATTTATTATTTCTATCATAAGCACTAAGTATGCAATTATAAAAGGATCTTAACTCAATTTGTTCATTTTTAATGATTGATGACAACATTGAGAACCAATTGTGCAATTTTTGCCAAGTTCCTCGAAAATGGAAAGGGGTTATATAATGTTCCAGATTTAGCTTTTTTTAATATATTAAAAATGTCATTTATAATTTCAAAAATTAATTTTTAATAAAAAAAAATACAGGATCGAGTTGTAAGCCTGTTTTTCTCTTAAAATGTTGTAAAAATTTACTTTTTAAAGTCGAATATTAATTATTATTAAATATTTCGTAGAATTCATAATTACTATTCACTTATTCATCGATAAATTTTATCAACTTATAATTTTAACAACTAAAAAGGAAATTCAAACAAAGATTAAATTATATCCGAAAATTCTTCACTTGTGTCGCTACATGTGAACATCCTCTTTTAAGGTTCCGTTTGAGAGTCATTCTTTTTTTAAATAATACATTTTTTCCTTTCACATCAAGTGGGGTCCATGGCTGAAAAGAGACACAAAAAAGGTGTGATTTGACACAAAGAATATATTTTTTTTTGTAGAAAAATGGTTACCAAACGGAGGTTAAATTTGAGAATCATTGGAATGAACTGTATGTTTTTGTACGATTCACATAAACTTGTTCCCAAGTACTCAGCCTTCAAAAGCTACTCAAAGATAGTGCAGATCTGACTAGGAAAAAAATTACTTAACATAATAATGAAGTTATATTTTTTATTTTAAAATAAGTAACTTTTTGAGTAACTTTACCCACAAATAGGCATTATGTTTCGGAGAGTTATAGAGGAAGACTTATATTTTTTATTTTAAAATAAGCAACTTTACCAAGGACAGATAGATGCTAAATATTTTCAAATTAACGGTGTGAATCAATTTTATAAAACTTTAAGGACTTGTTTGGGAGGGATTTTAATTCAATTAAAATTGAAAATATGATCGTTATTGGGTTTCATTCGTCTAATAAAAGTCAACAATAACGGCTGATTTTTTAATTTTAATCCGATTTTAATCTCTCCTAAACAAGCTCTAAATCTAAGTCAAACCATTTATCGATTTGTTTCTATTTTTGCAGAAAACACATTGATAATACATAGCAATAAATACATTTTTCTATTCGCGTAAAAAAAATAGTAGCTTTTAAGGTACTTTTAAGCATGTCCAAACTACAACTTTGTTCTTATTTTTTTTTTTCCCTTCATTTCAACTTTCAAGTAAGGAAAGCAGTGGCAAAAATTAATGAAACCCGATAGAAAGTTCGAAATTCAAGCATTTGGAAATCGGAACGTCTGAGATGTCCGTTGAGCTTCATGCATCCCCCAGTTTTCTCTGCAAATTCATTCTCCATCTAACTAGCTCTCTCTTCTTCCTTGCACTGTTTGACTTTTACATCATCTACTCAAGTTTTTCTAGGGAGAGAGTCTGACAGACTTTTGAGGCCACATGGACGGGAACTGTAAGTAGATTCCCTTTCATTCTGGAAGGCATTTGCATTTGCATTTGCTTTTTATCAATTGACTCGGCGTCAACCACCATGCATACTTCTTTTGCTTTACTTCATCACTAATTTTCTCCTTTTTCTTTTGATGAACATGTTTAACTGGTTCCGTACAGATTTTGTTGTTTCTTCTTTTAATTTGTTGGGTATTCGTCTCCTTTATTCAAACTTTCTTCAGGTTCCTTAAAAATGAAGTAACCCTACTTCACCACTCCAAACTTAAGGGGGTCTTTCAGAGTTCTTTTGTGTCATTTGATTGTTTAGCGAAGAAAAGATGACGAGCAATGTGGAAAAGGAGAATAAAAAAGCCAAAATTCATGGATTGATCGATTTGGTATTTTCTTGGTCTCCAAATGATGTGATGAACAAGTATCTTTACAGGAATCAGGTTTGCTTCTTTTTCGATTTCTTGATCCCTTATAACATATATGGTTGAGTAGACCAGTCCACACGAGAAAAATAATATTTTAGGAAGTTTCAATCAACTTATAAGTTTGTTTCAAATTTATCTTATGCTTTTTCCCAGCTCAAAACAAGTCAAGAATTTGATTGATAGTGCAAAATGATTGCTATTGTTATATTTTTCCCCATGAAGGTCTCCAAAGAATTCGAATCTTTTACAGGTTGAGAGAATTCCTGAGACATTCTCCTCACCACGGAACTACTTCAAGTCATTTATCTATCCACTTATTGAAGAAACACATGCTGATCTACATTCGAAATTTACATCTGTGTATCATGCACCTGTGAGGGAAATATTTTATGTGGAAGAAAGAAGAGATTTCAGGCCTCCAAAGAATTTGTTTTATACCATGTGGTTGAAAAGATTCAAGTCAGACAGTGAGCAAGACGGTCATGAAATATATGAACCTGAGGTTGGAGATTTAATTGCTTTGACAGATGTAAAACCCGAATGTATTGACGACTTGGACAGGCCTAAAAGACGTTATACTATTGCTATAGTTCAAGGCATGGAGGATGACGATTTTACTGAAGAACCAAGCGAATTTATTCCTATTCCAATACTATCTTCGAATCCTCTAACGTTTGACAAGGAAGAGGGCCAAGAGGACAAACTTTTCGCTGTTCATCTTACAAACTTGACGACGAACATGCGCATATGGAATGCATTGCATCCGGAATTGTCTGGGGAAAATATGAAGATCTTTAATTCATTGCTGAGAATCAATCCAGCTGTACGATCTACTGAAGTTTATCTCTATGCCTTGATGACGTGTTTGGTATGATAGTACTGGACAATAATACAGAAGAAAAATATATCCTCCATTTGTGTCTAGTACTGTGTATCAGACATATACTGTTCATATTATTTATTAAAACATTCTTGATAATCTTTATCAAATCATTAAATTCTCAGTGCACTCTTCTGCTTTATGCAGGAAGAAGTAAATTGTACGCTTTGTTTTGATGAGCAAACTAGGAATATTCATGAATCAAGATTAAGGGAAGTCATTGGCACTTTTGGAATGGATGATTCACAAGAAGCTGCTATTTTAAGTTGCATTATTACAAAAGAATGTCATCATCGAAATAACGTAGAGCTTATATGGGGTCCCCCGGGAACAGGAAAAACAAAAACAGTTGCATCACTATTATTTGCCTTGTTAAAAATGAAATGCAGAACATTGACTTGTGCTCCAACTAATATTGCTGTCTTAGGAGTTACAAGAAAATTCCTTAGTTTGCTGAGTGGTACATTGTTATATGACACGTATGGACTGGGAGATGTAGTTTTATTTGGTAACGAGAAACGAATGAATGCTGATGACAATGAAGATCTTTATGATGTATTTCTAGATTACCGTATTTCTGTACTTCTTAAGTGTTTTGCACCTTTGACTGGGTGGAGAGGTCGTATAAAATCAATGACAGACTTGCTTGAAGATCCTGAAGAACTGTATCAACAATACTTGTCAAGAGAAATTAAAGAGCAGGAAAAAGCTGATGGTGATGATTGTGATACTGTGAATAAGAATGAAAAGGAACGGTTTAGTAGAGGGAAACCAAGTGGTAGTCAAGAGATGGAGACGGAGACGGAGACAGAGACAGACACAGAGATGGACAATGGAAACTTCAAAGAAATATTAAGGAAGAAATATATGAAGAAAATTGTCCATACCTTGCGAATGAACAAGAAGAGAAAATTGAAGCAACGAGAGCCTTTCCGAAAAAGAAGTCAATTGAAGTGTGATCGAAGAAAAAATAAGAATGAGAAAAACAGAGAGAAAGCAAGCAAAAAAGGTGATATTCCATGGACATTTGAGGAATATATGAAAAAGAAATTTAATTCAGTAGGTAGACAGCTAATTCTTCATACGACAAGCTTGTACACTCATTTGCCTAGTTCTTTTCTTAATCTGGAAGTGGTAAAGAACATGGTTAGAGCTCTTGACATGATCAAAGCTATGAGAACTTTGATCCATAATGTTTATGTTGCAAATGAAGATTTACGGGGAGTCCTAAAAGGAACAGGAGAAACAGGAAAACACTTCAACCCCTTATGTAAGATCAGATTAGAGTGCCTTGAAGTACTGAAATTCCTTAGGGACAAATTCTCTCTCCCTCAATTCATTGACAAAAAAGAAGTTACCGAAATAGATATTAGAAATTTGTGTCTTCAACATGCTTGCTTGATATTTTGTACTGCTTCGAGTTCAGCGAAGATGAAATGCTTAGGATCATCACCACTGGAATTATTGATCATTGATGAAGCTGCGCAGTTAAAAGAATGTGAATCTGCAATTCCCTTACAACTCCCTGGTCTTCGCCACGCTATACTTGTTGGAGATGAGAAACAACTTCCAGCTATGGTTCAAAGCAAGGTATCTTTATCATTTTTATTTCATTCATTATTCTTTTAGTGTAGTAGGTTTGGTACGCATTATATTATAGAACTAGGCAGGATAATATACTAGACTTGATGAATCCTGTTTGGTATTGCTAGATATGTGAGAAAGCTGATTTTGGGAGGAGTTTATTTGAAAGGCTTGTGATATTAGGACACAGCAGACACCTTCTTGATGTTCAGTATAGAATGCATCCCTCAATAAGCTTATTCCCGAATACGGAGTTCTATGGCAAACAGATTAGGGACGGTCCAAATGTCAGGGAACAAGCCTATGTAAGGCGCTTCCTTAAAGGAGACATTTTTGGCTCTTACTCGTTCATTGACGTGACCAGTGGGAAAGAGCAATTTGATGACAGGCATAGTCTGAAAAATATGGTTGAGGTCTATATTATTGCTGAGATTGTATCCAACCTTTATAAAGGTAGTCGTGTCTACTCATTAAGTTCTCTACATATTGTTGAAAATTCTTTGTAATACCTATTGTAGAATCAATTTTAAGTTTTTGTTAGTTGTTTCTGAAGTATATGTATTCAAGTTCTAACAATTGATACTTTTTTCAAAGAATCCGTTACCTCGAAGCATAAGGTCCGTGTCGGTTGCTTATCACCATACAAAGCACAAGTTTTTGCAATTCAGCAGGTACTGGGAAAGAAATATAGTAATGATGCAGACAAAGATTTTTCAGTAAATGTTCGCTCTGTTGACGGTTTTCAAGGTGGTGAAGAAGACGTAATAATATTCTCTACTGTTAGATCCAACGGGAAGGGATCAGTTGGTTTTCTTTCTAATCGCCAAAGAGCAAATGTGGCTCTGACTCGAGCAAGGTACTATATATGTAACAAAACCTAGTTCATGTTATTTGTTTCGTGTCCTATCACTGTTACCTTCTCGTACTTGTTTCTCAAACATTCGATATATACCTTAATGAATGAAAAAAAGGGATTTTTCTTCAGGTACTGTCTTTGGATATTGGGCAATAGCGCAACGTTACTAAATAGTGGCTCCATTTGGGAAAAAATAGTTCTAGATTCCATGAGTCGGGATTCTTTCTTTGACGCTTTTGATGACAAAAATATGGCTCAAGCAATTACTAGTGCCTTGGTTAAGCACAACCAGTTTAGTTTGCTATTTAACTCGAACTCCTTAGCCTTCAAAAATGCAAGGTGGAAGGTACACTTTATTCATCTCTTGACCTGAAAATTTGCTGATTACTTCGCCTATGATAAGAGAAATACTAAAGGCATGTTTTGTGAGATTGATAGGTTTGTTTCTGTGACGAATTTTTGAAATCCATGTCTAAGATTCAAGACATAAATGTCCGTAAAGAAGTCCTTTCTCTTCTTGAGAAGCTTTCAAGTGGCTGGTGTCAGCCGCTTAAACATAACCTTGTCAGCAAACTTGACGGTGCTTCTTCTGAATTTTTGGAAATATACGATGTCAATTCGTTATTGAAATTGATTTGGACGATAGAGATTGTCCATGAAGATGCAAACAAGATTCAAGCGATCAAAATTTTGGACATTTTGCCACATTTTAAGATATCTACATTGGCCAAGAAACACAATGCAGTCTTTGGGAACTTTACAGTTAATTATATGAACCGTTGCTTGCACAAGCGCATTGAAGGGTATGTGACTTCTCACTCTTGTTTTGAAATTCTTCGACAGAAATTTATTTAAGTTGGTTGAAATGCTAAAATAAGAAGTCATATACTCATGCATTGAGCATTCTATTAGAAGCTAAAACCTTAGCTATCTTAAGCTACTATATAGATTTGATCTCAGTAGAACAGACCAAAAATGCCTTTGTTGGAACGAAGAGTTGATCGGGAGCGAATTACCATTAAGATTTAAGAAGCCACTTATTTCTTCGTCATTGTCTGCAGGGAAATGATACTTCCCATGTCATGGCCGGTGAATACAAATATTAAAAATGCTCGTTCTGTCAACGATCCAACGGATAAGTTAGTAACTCAACTGGCAGCAGTGAGTTTGCGAGATAGACCAGGAACGTCAAGGAAAAGTTACAAGGTGAAATCTTATGAACAAAATTATTCTATGCAGGAACTTCTTTTGTTTGCAAATTGTTTACTAATAGTTGTGTTTTTTGTTCATGGAAAACAGGAACGGCGTCAAGTCCGCAAAGGGTGGCAGATGATAGGGTGGGATTGAAGATGCATTTGAATTGGCTTAGTTTAAGCTAAAGCGAAAAGGCTGTCAGTTTTAATCTTGATCTGAATGACTGGTTGTATAGATGAAAGTTGTTAAATCCAATTCTGCACCCCTGATTAGCAATCATCTTACTCATTTTAAAGTAGACATGCTTAAATGTTTTTAATTTGCAATGGAAGTTTAAGCATTTTTGTCGAAAAAAGTAAATTTTGTACTTAAAATCCCAAAGATTTGATGGCAAAAAATGCTAAGGCCCCGTTCAGGTGGGATTAAAATCCAATTAAAATTGAAAATATGGCCATTATTGGGTCCCACTCGTCTAATAAAAGTCAACAATAACGACTATATTTTCGATTTTAATCCCTCCCATACAAGGTCTAAAACTTGTTTGGGAAAAATTATAATGAAGAGTGAATGAAACGGAACTCACGAAACGTGAGCTAAATAATTGGTAGCACTGATGAAAATGCAGTCAAATTTATGTTTGAAATTCAAATTACAAGGCACTAATTAAATTTATATAGAATTGAGTAGTAATCATATTGCATAAAGTGGACGTGCCGGAGTGGTTATCGGGCATGACTAGAAATCNTCTATTTATTAAGTGGATTATTAATATTTTCCCAATCAATGTGAGATTTTAATACGCCCCCTCACGCTCAGCGTAGACTATTCCAAACAACTGTAAACAAATCGATATTGGGTGCACCTAACATTGCAAAACTGGGTCTGCTCTGATACCATATTAGAAAGGATATTGTGTCTAATTCAACCTAACAAAATCGACCTGTTAGGGGAGGATTGCTCACACCTTATTAAGTGCATCGTGTAAATATCACCGGTCAATGTGGGCTCAAATACAATCAGTTCATATAAATACAAAAAGGATAAAGCTAATTAACTAACTAACTAACAATTACAGTTGTATCATATCTGTACATGTAACCAACTTTCATCTATACATAAAGGCACCAAAATTAGTTGCATTAGTTGGTTTTGTTTTGATGAAGCGGTAGCTTTAGCTGGAACTTGAGATGAGCTCTAATACTTCCCTTCAAGATGGACTGTGCAAATTCAAAACAGTCATCTTGGACATGAGAGGAAAAAGAAGAGATGATGGTAATGGTTTGGTGAAAACATCAGCTAATTGGTGTTGAGTTCGGACCGATAGAAGTTTGATGAACCCATCATTGACTTTATCTCGAATAAAATGATAATTTATTTCTATGTGCTTCGTTCGTTAGTGAAAAATTAGATTAGTAACAATGTGGATAGCGACTTAATTGTCACAGAAGATCAAAGTTGGGAGTGAAATTCGAACCTGCAAATCAAGAAGGAGCTGCTGAATCCAAACAATTTCACAAGTAGATGAAGATAAAGCACGGTATTCAGCTTATGGAGATGATCTAGAAATAGTAGATTGCTTCTTAGACTTCCAACAGAACAAGGAATTGCCAAGGAAGATATAGGAACCGGTAACTGATCGCCTTGAATCAGGAAATGATCCATAATCTGCATCAGAGAAAGCAAGAATTTGAAATGAAGAATATGCATCAAACAATAAGCCTTGACTAGGAGCTACCTTGAGTTATCTGAGAAGATGATAAACAACATCTAAATGAGGCTGACGAGGTCGAGAAATAAATTGGCTTAGCTTGTGGACTGCAAAAGTAATGTCTGGTCGAGAGATGGTTAGATATAACAACCTACCAACCAATCTGCGATATTGAAGATTGAGATAGAATTGAAGATTAAATAGGAATTCATATTACTCGAGGATGGAATGATACAATCAATTCATATAAATACAAAAATGATGAAGCTAACTAACTAACCAGCTAATTAACTAACTAACTAACAATTACAGTTGTATCATATTTGTACTAGTAACCAACTTTCATCTATACATAAAGGTGCCAAAATTAGATATATCAGTTGGTTCTGTTTTGATGAAGCTGGTAGCTTTACCTGGAACGTTGAGCGGTGGAACTTGAGCCAAGCTCTAATAGGCAAAAAAAGCTAAAACGTGTTTGGGAAAAATTATAATGAAGAGTGAATGAAATGGATCTCACGAAATGTGAGCTACATAATTGGTAGCAGTGATGAAAACGTAGTTAAATTTATGATTGATTGCGAAAGCAAATTACATAATCAAACCTATACAAGATTGAGTAGTAATCATATCCCGCAAAGTGGACGTGCCGGAGTGGTTATCGGGCATGACTAGAAATCATGTGGGCTCTGCCCGCGCAGGTTCGAATCCTGCCGTTCACGTTTTTTTCCCCTTTATTTGTGCAACTAACAAAATCCTCCAAAAATAGCTGCTGCTGCTTTTTTTTCTTTTTTGGCCTCTGAATTTTAAAAAGGAGAACAATATATTACATTGATATTATTGTGAGAAAAAATAAATTTTATAATTGTACTCTCTTCCCATTTATATTTGTTTCTAATTCCTATAATAGCATCCAAACTCGTACGTACTTTAATAACTGGAAAGTTATGAAAAATTCTTTGCAATTCAATGAACGTCTCAAAAATTGTATGTCGATATGAAAATATATTTTTATTCATATATATCAACTTTGAAAATTGGATGAAAACTGTTCAAATTTGCAGTGTGCTCAATAATCTAAAAAATGTAAAAATAATCTCTTAAAGTAGTCCTAAGTGCCCCGATTTTTGTTATGAAACTCCATTTTTAGTTACTTGAAGCGGTGATGAATGATCATCCTTATTTTGGGCGTGACTTTTTATTTTTGAAACGTCGAAATTTTCATATTATCTGTCATTTACTATTTTTGAAAAATCTCTTGTAAAGCCTTTCTTTCAACTTTATTTGTCTAATAGACTGTCAAAAGGCAAACGTCGAGTTGCTCGACAAAGTATAACAATAACAAACAAATCTTTATTTTTAATTATTTGAAATCGACTCGTTCTTAAGCATCATTGTTTGGGTGAATAAATTATTTTTTGGGTTAATTTCAAAAAGAAATGAAGACAGAACAAAAGCATCCAATAAACCAAGATTTTGAAGATGTCGACCAAGATTCTATTCCATTCTTTGTAATCTACATCCCCTTTTGCCTCTTCTCAAAATTCTTTAACGGCTATATTAATTGCCCGCCCCTCGGTAAAAATTTGAATTTGCTCTCTCTCTAACCCCACCCCGTTCAAAAAGTTACATTTCTTTTTTCATTCAAATTATTGGTTTCTCGTTCTTGAACACTGTACCCCCATCTCTCTCTCTCTACAATATCATTCGTCTTTTCTCTCGTTCTACTTTTTTTGTTCCTTTGATTATTGGCTTTTCAGTTCGCTGTGAGGGAAAATGGGTAGTTGTTTAAGCAAGAAAAGCACGTGTTCTTCTTCTCCTGGTCCAATTTTAAAGCCACAAGAACAGATTGTATCCAATACCCAATCGGAGAAAAAGAAGGCAGAAGAAGAAATTGTGAAGAAAGAGGTTTTTGTTATGAAACACCGGAAGAGCCATGAAGTCGAAAGGCGGTCTGAAGAGGAGAAGAGTGAAGCACAAAAGGCCACGGATGTGGTTGAAGTGGGGAAAAATTCGAGCCCGGTTAATGAAATAAATGGCGATTTAGGAAATGGGAAAGGTGTTACAATGGCAACTCCGGTGAGGACATCAAGTTGTACTAAAGAAGAGGTGGATGCTATTTTGATACAATGTGGAAGGCTTAGCCGGAGTTCATCCACCGGAAAGGTTGGGCTTTCAGGTTCCGATGTGTCGTCAGAAAAAGCTGGTAATCTTCAAAGGGGAAGAAAGTACTCTGGTTCAAAAAGGAGTTTTGATTTTGATAACGAAAATGGTAGCAGGGGCCAAAATGCCGACGGAGAAAATGTTGGAGACAATGATGGTGTGATGAGGGGGAAAGATAACCGCCACAGGCAAAGCCAGCGCCAGTCCAGAACTGGTGGCTCCCCTTCTCAGGGGCGGAGGAGGACCCCGAGTCGAGAAAGAGACCAGGCGGTGCAGCAGCGCTCCGGCAGCAGAGAAAGAGGAGGCAGTGGGGGTGGAAGGAGGGTAAGCAGATCTCCTGGTAAAAGATCTGAATCTCCAGTTACTGCCTCTACTGGTGCTAATTCGGCTGCAACTTCCAATAATGGCAGTTGTAGGCCGGGAAAGATGGTCTCCGTGCCTGCGACTGTGTCGTCTTTGGCAATGGATAAGAGTAATAATGCTGGTCCTGGCGGTGGTGGAAATGGCTCGGAACCTAATCCGACCACGGCTATTAAAAGGAACCAAGTAAAGAGAACTGCTGGTGGGGATTCGGCTGTGGGTTCGAGGAGTGCTGCTTCTCCTCGCAATCGATCCCCTGCACGGGCTAATGTCAAGGGGTCGAATGATAATTCCAATCAAAACCAGCCAGTGTCCCTTAGCCGAAGCAATTCAAGAAAGGCAGAACAATCTCCTTATAGAAGAAACCCCCTCAGTGAGATTGATACCAACGTTGTAATGGAACAGATGCCTTTGCCTGCAGGTGTTAAATCTGTCGACAACATTCTGTCACAGGTATGTATATTTAGAATCTGAAGTATCTTACACAGAATCAACTATCACGTTCAAAGGAAATGGTTTGATACTAATTCCTATTATAGCACCTCTATTAGCTAGTTTTGAACCACCGCGTTTAGAAGTTTAAGTGGCCAGAGATATGCAAATTTACCTGGTTAAAGAACAAGCCTCCTTTTGGTGGATTCCGTATTTATGAAAAGCCTAACACTGCATAGCTTTTCTGGAAGACTTGAACTCGAGAGATTTGACTGTTGTGATAATAGTAGTTGAAACACCTGGTGTAGGAGTTTAAGTTGATAGAGGGAACTAATCTTAAATTTTTTTTTTACAGCAAGGACTCGAGAAATGTTTAGTTGCAACTTCTTTTACTTTTGAGTTATTCTATGAAATTGAGGAACACTGGATCTTTCTTCTACTATCGTACTTCAAAAACCGTCTTTCTGAAATGGCAACACGAATGCATTGTGCC